GAACTATTCATTTGGTAATTGATAATTGATGTAGTGGCCAACTATTGATTAATGGACTTGGTGGACAATAGCACTCAATCATTTTGGATAGATGAATTGACATTGATGCAATCAAAATTTGGTAAAGTGTTCTCATAAAAGTTGTTGAAAATTGTCTTTTCCTTCCACCCACCAAATTTTAGATCATTTAGAGCACTACAGCTCAAAATGTCTAAAATACTGAGCAGTGCTACTGGTAGATGTGGTGGATAGCCCTCATGCACTTGTATGGATAAAATTTCATTTTTACCATTTGAATTTAAGTTGGTCTTCTTATGAAAATTGTTGAAAATTATCTTTTCCTTCCACCCACCAAATTTTAGATCATTTGGACTTCTAGAACTCTAGTTTTGGGTAAAACTTTGAGTAGTGTTTGGACTGGATTGCAAGACAGATTTAGACTTCTCTTTTGTGGCCAAACTTTAAATTTGAAAATAGCAAATTTAGGTCTTTCCATACCTATGAAAGTTGTAGGACTATTTCTTATATTCCAGCTATATAAATTAATATGAAATCCAAGATATATAGCTCTATATATGATCCGATGACTGAATAGTGTTTGAATTTAAAGTGAATCGGCATCTCCTTCATAAGCTTAGCCTTTGCTTTGTCCTTTTACTTTCAAAAGTTAATCACAACAATCAATCATTTGAATTGTGAGAATACCTGCATTTAAAATGAGTATTTACCATAAATTAAAGGTATCTTATATTATCAGACTTATTATTATAAAACATGCTCTAGTTAAGAAGTTATTAATACTTCAAGACTGAACAGTATTCTAGTTTGGATTGAACCAACATCTCTTTTTTAAGCTTAGCCCTTGCTTTATCTTCTCAAATTCAGTAGTTAAACTCATCAATCAATTTTTTTATTTATGTGATGTGCTTGCATTTAAGATGAATATTTTTCATAAATTAAAGGTATCTTATATTTATTAGATATGTTATTATAAAGCATGCTTAAGTTAGGAAATTTAATGATACTTTAAGTTCAATATGATAATATAAACCTTGATAAAAATACACTTTTAAGTACTAATCAGACATCATGTCAAATCGTCCATCCTCTCAAGTAAATGTATATCTATCTAGAAAATATAAAGAAATAAAGAATTCTTGTCTTTTATTAGTGAAAAATTTAAAAGAGAGTCACTACCTAGTATTCTGATCACTACGAACCCTAAATGGTTTCAAAGATTAGGTACGGAGACTGGTTTCATAAAGAGAAGGTATTGGCACCCTAACTACGCCCTGCCTAAGGTAAGCTACATTGTTTTGTTGTTTGATAAAATCTAAGGTCGTGTTTGTGGTTTTTAATTGTCGGTTTGTCTACTATTTAAGAAAAATCCTCCTCTGTAAGGATAACCATATCTTATCGGATAAAAAGGCCTAATTATTCTATGTCATCAAAAGAAATATCTTTTTAATATCAAGAATAAGTTTTATGTATAAATTCATAATCCTTGATACTAAAACAAACCAAAATATTTTTTTAATTTTTTTTTAAATATTAGTCAAATTCTCGTGGCTTTAATAAATTAGTTATTAAAGCAAAAATGTATACTATTTTTGTTTTTAAGTTTTCTTTGTTGTATGAAAATACAATATGATTTTTAGCTTTGAGAAACTTGGCTATATGCATAAAATTTGTTACTTACTGTTAAAGAACCAATCCAACTTAAAATTTTAAACTGTTTGGTGAGGTTCTAATATATGATTTCCTTCTCAAGTGAAAAGCCTTTTGACTTAAAACTTACACAGACTCACATTATTTTATGCTTAATTTTTATCAAATAAATGGGGATTATGAGATTCGAACTCGTGACTGTTTAGTTATCAAGGCTATGATACCATTTTAAAGAATCAACTTAACCCAAAAGCTTAAACTATTAGGTAATGTCCTAAGATATGATTTATATTATTCTCTAATACCTGCGAGCGAAATGGAATAACAATAAATCTAAGCGAGCAACATGGAATCTACACGAGAGAAGAATACATGAGATTGAGAAAGTTAGGTAAAAGCCTTTTAGTGTAAGTTAAATTGCAATAAAAAAACAATAAATCCTAAAATTATTTGAATTATTGAAGATAAGAATGCAAAAATCAACCCATATAAAGAGAGAGGGGATAAATCAAAGATGTTCTATGGTGATAATGACAGGTCTAATGAGATGTTGCCATGAGTCTATGTTTTTAGTGGTATACAAAGGAAGATTTAATTTGTTGACATGAAAGAGAAGAAGAAAAAGATAAAAGCTAAGGGATGTTAGAGACAAATGAGAAGAAGATGAAGATAAAAGTTAGTGATAAAAGAAAATCATATCGATGAAGAGAAAATACAAGGAGAATGCAAGTTAATTGTTTTTCTAGAGTTATATATAGATGTTAGGGACAAAGAAGATGAAGAAACTAAAAAATAATTTTTTAATAAGTTATTTTTTTTTTGTTGTGTTTACGTTTATGAAGGGGAAAGCATGCAAGTTTAGATTTTTTCTTTTAAACTAATTAACAATTGAGATCTTATAGTATCAAAACTAATCAACATTATTTATAATTTTAGTTTTAGATTAAGGTTTAAATAATTATTTTTTAATTATCAACAAATAATCAATCAGTTGCAAATTTAATGTTGATTTTAGTAACAAATTTTCTATTGCTAAGTTTATTGCTGATATTAAAAAAATTATGTGTGTCTATATATATATATATATAATTTGTTGCAAATTTATTACTAAATTATAAATTAGCAACGGAATTATCTGTTACTCCAATCTAATCTAATGCTAATGGCCTCAGTTTTATTTTTATTTTTTTAATTAGTGATCATTAATCTTTATGAGAAGAGTAGGCTATAAGAGTTGGAGTAGATTGTCAGAAATCCAAAACGTCATCCCGCGCGATTTGGTGAACATGCATTGAACATTGATTGTACTGTCCCAAACTTATTGAAGGCTGATCGTAGAGTTTGATAAGACACCTAACTCGAAAACCTTTCAAAATAAATCTTCAACGCTGCCGTTTGATCTCCAGAATTTTGTCTCTGTCCTCTGGCTGAATTTTGTGGTATTGAATGAGTGACAGGGTCGGTGGTACGATGGTTTATTTGGGAATGATTTAGGTGAATTTGGTGAGGTTTTTGCTGGGTTTGGATTAGGGATGAAGTTTGTAGTGTTTGATTTTTTGGTGCCATAGTATTTTCTTCCTTTGAATACCTCATCCTCGATTAACCTAATCCCTTGATTATTAGTTTTATTTTATTTTTACCATTATAATTTCTTTTGTCAAAAAAACACTAATTAAACATAGTCAAAGCTTATCATCATTCTCATATCAGTTCTCTTGGGTGGAACATTTTCTTTCTTCTTTTTTCACTTAGAATGAAATTTGATCCATGGACACTGCTTCTGCTTGGTTGAGAATATCAAATCATCCTTGGCAAAATGCTAAGCCTCTTGGTCCATTTGTTTGTTTCGCAATCAAACCAGCAATCCAACGGGGGTATTTCCATGTTCAAAAGGCTGTTAAAAACCTTAGCAATCCAATGCTAAGCCTCTATTGATTTGAAATCATTTTGCTTCCTGGGAATATGATGATGGTATACAATTACTCTAGACTGGGGATCATACGAAAATAAGCCCAGATTTAAATATGTTGAAGACAATGCAAACCAATAATAAATACAAAAGAAGTCTCTCTATTCCGAAAGCTCTTAAGATGGGATAGAGTAGAAAAGCAGAAACCATTGTCTACCAGTGGGTGTAAGCTTTTCACCCACTAGTGCTCCAAAACACAAACAAAATAGCAAGTGGAGGAGAAGTACGGAGAGGTCTGACAAGCTTAAAAAAAACCCTAACAACTAAGTTAAGAAGAAGGCGAAAAGTAGTAGATCAACCTTGGAATATTACAAGGGGTCTGGTCTATATTTGCCTTTTACTTTGTTTGGCGAAGTCAATTCCCGAACCTCTAACATCTTTTCTCACTCATGGTATGCTTTGGTTCTTAATTATTCTTTCCCAAAACGAAAGCCATGAAGCAAAAAAGAAATATGTGAGGTGCGTTCTTGACTTCTCCCATTCTTCTATCACCCAAAATCGAAACCAACTTCGAGTTTTTTCACAAAAATTCCCTCGTTTTTCCTTCTCTGGTAATGAACTGCAAAACAAAATATAAAATAAAATAAATGAATATATATAATAGGAAATACATTTAAAGAATAATTAAAAAATAAAAAACTGGCATTATATATGTCAATTATATATTGAGAATTGATAAGGCTATTAAAAACCTTCGAAAACAATTAGTCTTTCCAAGCTTCCTATGGGTTTGAAGGTGTACAAGGTTGGTTTTCGATAGCCGTAACACTTGAAAAGCAAGTCATTTGAAAGGGTTGGGAATTTTCTTGAACTTAATTAAATTTACTAGATGATAGTCTTGTGGGGCTGTGTATGTAAAGTTTGAGTAAAGGAAAAATATGAAGTTTTGTTTCTCTAAAAGAAGATGATTTACCTTGTTAAAGGCGATCTATTTATATAATCTTAAGCCCACATGCATTTCCATATCAAAGTAAGATGACCAATGTGCTTAGCACATACAATTTTAGGCTACTTGGGAACAAAAACCACTTATTTTGAATACCACAAAATACATTCAGATTCGCATGAATATTAAAGAGATGCATGCACACAGAGAAAGTCCACTGACCTATAAATTAACCTTCAAAGATCATGCAGATTCGCATGATAAGGAAGCCTTAATCCTCTCCACAGTGCATGCAATCAAGTTGTTAACAGTGGCAACTGAGCCAAGAGACAGTTTTGCAGTAGGAACTGAATCAACCAAAATCTGGAACGCGACAGTTAGAAGAGATCCTCCTGTAGACCCAGATTCTTCCATGCCCACCCCATGCGCTGCGGTTCCATCAGGAAAAATAGCAAACCCTGATGGAAGAAGTGCCACATAATCTGGATCCCCGCCGTTAAGCACCACGTTCATTGCAACAATATCAACGGGAGCATAGATTACGAAAGAGGCCGTTTGATCAGTGCAACTCTCTTGCAAAATCAGCATGTTGCTCTGGCTCGAATTCGCGCTCTAAAATTATGATGTGTTAGATCAGCTAAAATATCGATAGCACAATAGCCTTACGATCATAGAGAACTTAACTTCGTTAACAGGTACAAAGGATTTCCTTATGCTACTTACATTAACTCGGATTAGAGATACACTGTTGCCTGTATCCCGGCCATTAGCAATGTGTGCCATTTCTTGGACAACTCCACCATTTGATAGAATATCCCACTGTGTTAAATGTAACCAATTCTTAGAATGAGATCCAATCATTTGGTATATTAAAATTCGTCTTCATTGGCTATGTGCTTGTTATGTGTAGATGGGATGCAATAAAGTTAGCCAAGTCAAAAAGTTCTAATTGTTATACCTCATTACGAGTGTTCTCATCACGTAGAAAATCAAAAACCCTCTTTGGTGGAACTGGAAGCCAGAAGGAAGTTGCTGCACTAAGTACAATCCCAGGAGGCCTCCCTGGATCATCTACACTCTTCCTTGTCATGACCCGGACATCATCAGCTCCAGTCCCAGATAGGGTAGTCCATGTGTGGGCGGTAGAGGCGCTCACGCCAGCACAGAAGCTTATCACCATTCTCTCTGCCAGCTTCATCATGCTCTTTCTTCCTTCTTGATTAGTAATAACTGTGAATAAACAAATGAGGTAAGTCCAAGGTCAAACATATCAATTAGTACAATAGTTACCAGCAGCAATTCCTAGTGAAAAAACACAATATATATTACCACCAGCATCACCAGCAGGAATGTTTGTTGCCATGGCACTGGCAAGGCGCTCGCATTGCCGGTTTAGGGTTGCGACCCAACGTTTTGCCCCGAATGCATGTCCTGAGCTAACTAGATGCTTGTATAGATTATGAACACCTCTATCATCCACTTCTACATGTTCAACCCATGTAACCTAAGGTAGGGAGAAATTCGATTACAAAGGTAGCAATAACTAAGAATTGCTTTTCTTTTTGTATAGAAATGGTGCAGCTTAAATAAACTAGAGAATAACAATACACATTGATAAAGAAGTATATATTCACCTTCGAGTATCCATTGGGCATTTCTTGAATTAAACATCCAGATGGCCTTCTTCGACATCTTGCTGCTGGACCAGGGCGTATACTGTCCAATGAAACATCAACCACAGCCCAAGTCCCATCAGCATGTTGTTTACAATACCTGACATAGTAACTTTCACGAGTAGGAACAAGTGGAGTTGGAAGTTGAAATTCAGCTGTCATCTGGAAACAAATGAGAATCAGTTCAATACATTTAGAGAGGATGATATCATAAATCATTTTGACATATTTGGTTTCATGATTCGGTAATCCACACCTATGATTTCAGGGATATGTAAAAGATATAGAACAGACTATATATTAAATCATGTCTCGAGTTATGGATGATCGAATTAGCAAACGTATTGCTAATTGGAAGATAATCAAGGAATATTTGTATTACCACTTGCAAGGCTCCATTGTAGTTCCCTGCAACTCCTGTAGATAGCACTTCTAAAGTCAAAGCTCTTGAGACAATGCCAGAAAACAATGTAGACCACTGATTCTGAAAACCAAAACATAATCACAAATCACTATTGGATCGATATGCATTTATGTACATGCTTAAATATGCTTGATTTGCTTTGAAAGATACTAAAAGGAAACTTACCACATCCATGAGATACTCGACAAGGTTGATGTGGTTCATGATAACAACAGCAGTCTCTCTTGAAGCCTCACATTTAAAACCAGTAGGTTTAGGACCAATACCATGAGGGAATATCCTTATGTATTCATCTTCATTCAACACTGCATCAATTCCATCAAGGCTGTTCATCCATAAAGGTTCATCCATTTGAGCCATTCTAATTAGTTCCTCCATGGCTGCCACTGCAAGCTCAATTATCATGGGCTTATCAGCCTCAGTAGGTGCACTAATAGACCTTAGTAGGTCTCCAGCTTCATAAATATCCCCTCCTAAGCCTGGTTGTCCACCAAAATTCCCAACACCAAGGTCAACTGGACGTGGAGGCATTGGAGGCGATAGAACAGGATAGTTCACCACAGGCTTGCCAACATACCTAGCAGCAATTGCTGAAATACGGTCAATCTGCAAAAAAAAAAAAAAGAAAAAAAAAGAAAAAAAAAAGAGGAGAGATACGAATTAAATTTTGAAGATATAAGGCATTGAACGTTATGGATCCACCAAAAAAAAAAAATCAATCTAATAACTTCACCTCTTCTCTCAATCTAGTATTTTCAAGTCTCAAATGATGTTCATCAAAGGACATTTCTCCAATGGCAGTTGGCCCTCCACAATTAGGACACGAGGCATTGCTAAGAGCTTCTCTGTACCGCATGTTGTCAGCCCTAAGCTTTTCATTCTCATTTCGAAGCTGTGTATTTTCATGGCGCTCATGCTGGGTCTGAAACGAGAAAGAATTTAGCTAAACATCTCGGAGGAGGTTTAAGAGATATTCTAACCCCCCTAAAGAAAACTTTCTAAGAGAAGAGGCCAAGATATTGTAACCGCCCCTTGACGTGCATAACATAGAAAACAGACGGCAAATGTGGTATTTATTACATGGTCTAAATTAGTAATGTCTAGGCTAAGGTTATGCGCACACGTTATACCTTCATTTGGGTACGCTTATTTTGGAACCAAAACTTGACTTGCAAAGGCTCTAACCCTAATTCTCGGCTTAACTCCTTCCTTTGCTTGTCATCTGGGTGTGGACACTCTTTGAAGAAACTAATAAGCCAATAATGAAAAGGCATTAATCGTCAGTTATATGTGTCAACAAATTTAAGGCAATATACAATAGCAATAGCAGTGTATAATTTAATTAAGGCAGAGCTTACGCTTCCATTTCTTGGATCTGATGCTGGGTATGGCGATGGTAGCGTTTCTTTTTGGGGCGTGGGTCTTGATCATCACCTGAAGCGCCTTCTTGATTCTCACTGCCTGATTTTGTGTTGGTACTATCAAATTCTTCATCTCTAATTCGAGTCATGTCGCCTTCAGATGTGTTGTGTGTCATGTCTAGATGATGAAACTCGTGACCTTCCATCATGTTTGGCTGGAACATTATCTACAGATCTTTAAGATTCCTCAAGCTTTATTGTTTTTTAATCTAACAGCAGAATGGAAATTTCCACTAAAAGAGAAAGGTGATTAAAATGTTCATGCCAACATATATCTATATCAAGGAGTGCAAAAGGTACTTTGTAATGTGCAAAAGCCTAGGACGTATGGGAAAGCAACGTTTGAAAAATTGTTCTTGGAATGTAGAAAAATACTAGATCTTGGATAGGACAAGAGGCCCATGTAAAAATACTAGATTCTCAAACCCTTCCATCTCCCTCTGTTTGTGTGAACCCTATACGCGTTTTGCAACTATCGAGGAGGATTTTGCTTAAAGAAAACAAATTTGTCTGCCTAAAAGCCAAAAAAAACATAATAAAACTTTTGACTCCTGAACAGTAGCAGAAGAAGAAGAGATCTGATGTGAAAAAAATGTTAAGGGGTAAGGAAATCAATATGGGATCGTTAAAAAATGAAAAATCGTGTACATTAACCAAACAAATATCCAAGATAACTGGATCATAAAGCTTAAAAAGCACAAACAGTGAAGAAGAAAGACATGGAAAAGAACAAAAGTGCAGACCTGACCAAGAGCAAGTCCCGAAGTTGATCCAAACCCACCAACATTACCATTAACCCCGATCATTGATGGCATGTTTCTTGCCGGAATCATTACTCCGGCTGGCATGTTTCACCAGCCACGAACCCTAGGAAAAGTTGTATATAGGAATATATATTTGCGTGTCTGTGCCTGATAGGTAGCTTAACTCACTCTCCTTATGACTCTACTGTTATATATGGTCTTAGATCACGGTGAGTGGGTTTCTCACGGATTTTCTAGAGTATAGAAAACAGGCAGGCTGACTATGGTTCTCTTTTTCCCCGTAGGGGAATTGGTTTCTCCCTTTCTACGCCTATCTGGTTCTCACGTACATACGAAAGAGACAGAGAATAAATAAAGAAGGTCGAGTTGACGATTTTTAACAGGTTAATATCTGACTAACTCCCCAAAATCCAAATATTAAATCTATACATCGCCCAACTAAGATTACGGAGAATCCAACTTTGCCTTCCCAGTTTCCTTTCTTTCTTTAGCTTTATCTGCTCCACGGAAAAAAAAAGAAGTTAAAGAGAACAAAATGAGAGAACTACATGCAAGGGAGAGAGAGAGATGTGAGAAAGAGTGGATTTGAAAACCCACTCATTCTATAGAAGTGGAAAATATAGAGAAGACAATGAGACTCTCTTGAAAAATTCTACTCATACAAGAAATTTACTTGCCTAGAAATAAAAACAAAAGAAAACAGTCTTGACTGAAAGGATTTTATTTTTCTTTGTTTTGGATCTGGTTTTGAGGTTACCTTGTGGAAAAGAAAGCAGTATTTGGGTCTGCTAGTGGTTTCTCTGGAGATTTTGGAAATAATTTTTATGGTAAGAAGTTGGTGAGTGGATATGGAGATAGAGTCAAGGGAAGAAAATCAAGAATCAAGAAAGAATGGGAAAAAAAAAACAAAAAACAAAAATAGAGAGCATGAAGAAGATGGAGAATCAAAGGAACTTAGGAAGAGATACAAGGCAATGGAAGTGCAGGAGAAAGAGAAAACTGTGGCAGTAAGGAGTTATTGCAGAGCGTATTGAGAGGGTGCAATAGCATTAAATGGTGGAGAGGTGTAATTGCTTGGAAAGAGAAATAGTTCATTTGGCTAATTTAATTTTCTCGTAGTAGAGTGTATTGTGCGACGGCTACCAAACTCACCATACATCAACTTTTTCAAGTAATTTTCTCTTGTATATATATATATATATATTTTAACTTCCTAGAGCTACTAAAATATAATTCTTTTTAGACTTAGGAATTATAGTATATGAATGGTGCAACACGCTTACTATAACATGCATATAGAAATAAAATATCATCAAACAAGCTTGTAATATCAATCTTTAGATATAAAATATTATATTGGCAAGTTTCTGAAGTTTATTCAGTCATCTTTCACAATCATTTACTTAATTATAGTGTAAAAATGGATTGATTTTGTGATTAACTTTCTTGAAGAGAAGGAAATAAAAAACAATTCGAAAAAGTAACATGAAGCTCGCCATAGAAAGAAAGGGAATTTATGGGTCAGGGTTCGGTGTTATTATTGATTTGATTTATGAGTTAGGATATAGTTTTGTAGCTTAATTACAATGTTTATTAAACAATTTCATGTAGGGAAAGAGTTTTATGGATGAATTAATAAAGTCATTATTTATCTCAACAAAGAAATTTGCAGTACATTTAAGTAGTTGGTTTATTTTAATCCAATTATAATGTAAAGTTAGAAAATTATGTTTTGTGGTTTAAAGTTGTGATTTTAGTAATTTTTATGTTTATTATAGTTATTATTATTATTTTTAATATAATAGTTATAAATGTTGTCCAAATTGTTATGGTATTGGGTTTTGTCTTTTATGGGTGAACTAATTTAATGCTTATCTACTATTATTCTTAATAAAATATCCATTACTAATCAAGTGTTGATTGGGTGAATTTTTTTTCAAAAGATTTATTGATTAAGTTAGTTTCCCTTGATTAATTAAGTGTGTGTTTTATATTATAGTAGTTTTTATGGTAGTGGTTTGAAAAAATTAGTTTATATATATATATATATAAATTATAGCTTTTTCATGATCAAGAATTCTTTAAAAAAACAAATAGTAGAATTCATGCAACACTATAACATGTGTTAATTAAGCAAATATTTTAAAAATTAAAGTGGAGACAACACATTTTTAACCACACTACCTAACCAACCCTAAATAGTTTAGTACAGGTTATTGTAAATAAATGATTGTTGTAATGTAATTTAACCTCTATAATTCAAAACCCTTTAGATGATAAAAAATTAAAAATTTATCAAGATATTATTTAATTGATAAATTATTAAGTTAATAATTTATATATTAATTAATAAAAATATAATTTATCAAAGTGTTGTTTATTGTTTCTCCAAAACATTGAATTTAATATATATATATATATATATATAATTACCAAATTATCTAATTATATATAAATATCTGTTTAACTAAATATTATGAATATATTTTTTATATAAATATTATCTAATTACCAAATTATGAATTATCATTATTTTATGTATTTATTTAACTAAAACAAGTTCATTAATATAATTAGTGTTATTAAATAAAAGTCATGGATTTATTTATTTTTGCAAGAAACTAAAATTCCATTCGATGTATACTTAATTAATATATTTCAAGAATATTTAATCAAGAAAAACATTTATGAAAAGAACTTATAGTATCATAAATGGTGCAGCTAATCACAATTGCTTTTCTATCTAAAAGATGTAAAGAAATTAACAATGAATGATGAAATGCATAACTCATTGTACAGGGACAACATAGAAAATCTAACTTGGCCCTAAATGCAATTGTAATAGTAAATGTTAGGAAAGATTTAACTTGCAAATGAGTTAAGCAACAATATCAAATACAATCAAGAGGTTATCAAGGTATTTATTAGCTAATATTAAAAAGGATGGCGATGCCTAATGATACCAAACCTTAAAATTCTTAGAGCTAAAAAAGATTTTTTATAAGTGGCTTATTCAATATAAAAAATGTGTAAATATAACTATAGAATTCATCAAAAGAAAGAAAAGAAGTTTTTGAAAAAGATGTATGCTTAGTGTCACGGGGAGACATCGTCTGGTGACGGCGGGGGCTCTCTCTCGTGCCTCCTGATAAGGTGGTGTTGTGTGTTGGAAAAATTATTATTAATTTTTAGGAGTCGCCACCTAGTATTATGGTTATTAGTAACCTATGGTCTGCAAGAGCCTTAGTAAGGGACTGGTTGTGCAAGGGGAAGACGCATCACCCCTAGTGCACCTTCCCTAAGGTAAGGTGCATTGTTGTTTGATTATTTTTTAGGTTGGGTTTCTATTTATTGGTCTTATCTTACCTAAAGTAAGCTGCATTGTTATTTGATTATTTTTTAGGTTGGGTTTCTATTTATTGGTCTTATCTAAGGCTCAAGGCAGATCTCTCTTTATGAGAGAGTCTCTGCCCTATCGGGTTAAATCCTAATCATTCTAAAATCTAAATTTTAGCATCACATTTATTTACACTTTGTATCTTTAATACCTAAGGGTATACTTTATCATGTAATTTTACACCCACAAATATTAAAGTCTACATCTGGTTCCTAGAAAAAATTGAAAAAAAAAAGATTTTTGATATTTTGGCCAAACCTTAATGGGTAATCATAAACTGGTTATGATATCCATTTTTAGGTTTTCAAAACATGAGAAATATGCAATTTATTTTATTTTATTATCATTATTGTCATAACCCAATTCTGGTTTATTCCCCTAAAATTACCTTTTCTCAAAATAAAAAATAAAAAAATAAAATAAAGACTGGCAACGTGGAGAATGCAGGCCGGAGAATCAAGCTGCAATTTTTTGAGGAAGTTCAAGGCCTAATTGCACTCCATTGTGCCCAAAAATGGAGAAAAAAAAATGCAAATTTAAGGTCAAATTAAATGATGATTGGATGAATTTGCATAAAAATTAAGTTTGGGGATATAATTAAATTTAATCATGGGCCAAATTTAATTTTAATTATGTTTAAGAATTAGTTTGAGTCCCATTAAAGGATTTAATTAAATGCAACGACTTAATTATACTTTAAATGGGTCAAATTAATTTTATTTGGGGCATAATTGATGAAAAATTAAGTTTGGGGGCTGATTAGTACTTAAAAGTGCATTTTTATCATGGTTTTATATCATCATTTTGCACTTGAAGTATCAATAACTCATTAACTAAAGTATG